GATGACAAAGAAGCTGCACTCCATGCAGTTTCAACCGCCTTTGTCGACCTCCTAACGGTAAGATGTGGCACAGAACTGCAGGTCTAAGTGTTTTTTCCTCATGCCTTGTAACCACGAGTTTGACCTTATACTCAGGGCTGAAATAATTATGAACGATAGGGTTTATTTAACTTGATAGAGCTGTGTTGTATGCATATGTTAGTTATTGAACTACAAGTATTTGTTTACTGATGCAAATCGGAATGTTTGAAGAAGGAGACGCTGTTTATTTTAATAATATTAACGAATTTTAGGATCTCGACTTGACCAAGTCAGATGCAGCAATTGGTTTTCTACTCCTTCGGTGGCAATCGGACAAGTGGATCGGTGGCCATGGTCGCGTTCCAACCAAATACATACTTGAGCAAACCGATCCTGTTCAAACAGATTTGGCAGCGCCGGTATTGGTCTTTCTGCTTTAGTGTTTGAACACTTTATAACTTCTTTGTAAGATAGCCCATTTTTCTAGAGCCAGATATACTAATTGTTTTTTGCATCTGCTTTGGCAGCGCTTACCTAAGCTTCCTAGGACTGTAAATTCCACTTTAGTTTGATGTTGATTCTACGGTACACTGCCAAATCAGCTAATACAGTTTGCTGTTTGGTGTTTTGAATCAAGCTTGATCCGAAACTAAAAAATCCCTTCGACAAGTTGGAGAAACAGTGGCTGCACATTTCACGACTGCGGCGGTACTCGCACCTTGTGAATGCCTCTTATGGGTGGCTCTACTACTACACAGAGAACCCGTGCGACTGCGTGGCGTTGAATCGATTGTGCCAAAAACTTTCTTGCAGGTAATTGTGACATAACTAATTTACTTCAGCTCTAATATCGCATATCACATCATGCCGTTTTTTCCCATCTTCACTTCACCATTTGTTTTTGTGATATCTATATGTACAAAATAAGTCGGTTAGGCAAAGACTATCACTTCCTCTCATTCTTATTTGAAACATTTAAAGTAGTCACAATTTGCATGCATTTTATAGGGGCTCTCATTGTTTATCATTTTGGTTTTGATGTTTCATATCCTTACGATTTTTGCAATTGTCTCGTAATTAGAAACAGCCAAAGAATCTTCATAATCATAACTTTTTATGGTAGTGCAGTCTCACCCTCTAGCGATAATAACTTTAAAGTAAGGTCCAGAAATTTGCCTTCTCTTCTATCCTAATACTTCTGGTTAAATAGAAAGATGGCTGTTTCAGTTACCCATCGAGTTCTCACAGTTACTGAACTCGTTTCTCTTCCGTGTCATGAGGAATTGACGCTTGCATTTTAGCAACCCAACCATAACAACGAAAGAGTTGGACCTTGAAAATGGTATCCCTGGTCCTGGATGTTGCTGCTGTGCCGGTCAAAACCTCTACTTAGCAGCCTTTATGGAAATGGCGCAGTTGAAAAATCAAGACATCCTTTGCTTTGAACTCGTCAATAAGGTTCGAATGATTGAGTATCCATTGGCTGCAATAGCTGGGTTAATGATTTAATCGTCAGTCGTTCCTACTAGAGTTGATAAAACCCGTAACAGTACAAACATTACCG